ATGTTGCTGCTTTTCATTTCATTGAATGTCACCTTCTAGTCATATTACGGGAGAGGCTGACAAGCCAAGAGGGTCCAGTTTTTCAGTATACACCCTCCTCTGAATACCTTATTCACAAGATTCAGTAATCCACGTTCATTTCACCGATTGTGACTCTTCTCTCCAACCTCCAGCAGAGGGCGATACAGACTATCAACAGTGATGAAGGGGCTTTTTGGTTACATCAAAATTGAGCTTGCCACACAGAACAGGTTACGGTTGCTGTGTTATTGCGGGGGTTTAAAATTTGATTTGTTTCACATTTTGGTGCTTTTGTTATTCAAAAAATAAAATGGTTTAATCCAGTTGTGTTCAGAGGCATGCTTGATCTGCAGTAATAACCCCCACAATGCTATGGGGTAAAGACAATGAGACAAAGGGAATCTCATGATTGTGAGATGACATGTGACCACAATACCTCCAGGCAGCCTGCTTTAACACTATGGGGGTGCCAGGAGCAGCTTGTGGGGGAAGGTCCATCCGCTAAAGGGCTCAGTGAGAATGTTTGGGGTGAGAAGGCCTTGGGCCATGGTATCTTACGGCCCTTGCCTGGCTCACTGATGTGAAATTCCCAGCCCACAAGAGACAGGTATGCTTGACACTGGTCTCTACTTCACTGGATTATCTACAGCGGGAAGGTCATCAGAGGCAAATACCCGATGGATACTGGTGACATCTGGGAAATGAACCGGGAAATTTGCATTTTGCTCTGAGGCTGGGAGTTCCTCTCCCACATCTGCAGAAGAGCTCTGTGTTGCTCGAAACGTGTCTCTCTCGCCAACAGAAGTTGGTCCAATAAAAAAAAATATCTATTCCCTCCCCCACCTTGCCTCTCTAAGGAAACTCAACGCAGTAACGTCGTTTTTGACACTCTACCCTGCCTGGTCTGGGTATATAACTTCTCATACGCACAGACACACATCTGCTCATACTGGCAACCTACAAACTTCAAGCCAGATCAGGATGCACTCCAGGATGAGCTCAATTCCCACCAGGGTATTGAAGCATGGGGAAAGTGGCCATTGTCACTCGCCATGCTGTACATGTACCGTGCAGAAATGGAAGACCTTGCTCTCCAGAGCTGTCAATCTATCCCCTTCCACCAGCGTAACATTGCGGGAGGGCTGAGCATTTGTCCCCGTGAAAAGTACACCAGGGCATGGATCCAAGAGGGTTTGAGCAGGAAGGAATTTTCCTCCTCATCGGTGAGCTTGGTGTGGAACAGCTACACCGCTTATGACCAGTGGTTTGTCGTAATAGCTGGAATCTCTACGTGCCCCACAAGAAGCAGTGTGGGGTAA